TAGAGTGAAAGAAAGAGTGAGAGAGAGAGTGAGGGAGGGAAGATGAGCATCTGAACAGACTTAAATAGATAGATAGATAGATAGATAGATAGAGAGAGAGAGAGAGAGAGAGAGAGGAGAGAGTGAGGGAGGGAGGAAGATGGACACTGAACAGACTTAGATAGATAGATAGATAGATAGATAGATAGATAGATAGTGAAAGAAAGAGTGAGAGAGAGAGAGTGAGGGAGGGAAGATGAGCATCTGAGCAGACTTAGATAGATAGATAGAGAGAGAGAGAGAGAGTGAGGGACGGAGGGAAGATGGACACTGAACAGACTTAGATAGATAGATAGATAGATAGATAGATAGATAGATAGATAGATGTGAACAGACTAAGATAGATAGATATATAGTAGATAGATAGATAGATAGATAGATAGATAGATAGATAGATGTGAACAGACTGAGATAGATAGATAGATAGATAGATAGATAGATAGATAGATAGATAGATAGATAGATAGTCTGATAAGACCTCGGCCCGAAACTCTTCCCAACTTCCCGAATAAAAAACACGAGGAATTTTTGGCTGAGACAAGAACTTTTCAGTACTATCTAATACTATCATCACGATCATCAATCTTATTGTCATCATCATTGTCGTCATCATCATGATTATTCTGTTCATGACAATCTGTTCGATCCTATTCATCTCATTGGACCCGTTAATCCTCAATATCATTAAATATCAAGTTATTATTATTATTATTATTATTATTATTTTTGATAGTAATAATGTGAATATTGTTATACTAACTATACTTTAGTTCCTTACATCATTTTACAGTCAGTGTTATTGTTAATACTATATTATTTTTCATTTACCTGTTTAGAAATTATTATTTTTTTTTTTTTTTTTTTTTTTTGATTTTTGGCGTTTACACATTTCTTTCCGGGTCCCGCCCAAGGACCTAAGGTTAGAAAAGGCATCATGACACTTTACACTGACAACAACAACAACAAAAAATTACATAGATAAAGCCCTTCGTAAAGTGTGGGCTGTACTTGTCAGAACAATTTTTTGTATCTCCTTTAGGCATGGACTTCCAGGAATCCCTTCAATTAGTCTACTGCAATCTTTTCCAACCAGTCCTAGGGCTCCAACTACAACAGGGATTGTTGATGTTCCCATATGCCACATTTTCGAGATTTCTATTTCAAGGTCCTTGTATTTTGACAGCTTTTTGAATATCTTCAAAGATACATTGCAGTCAGCTGGGACTGCCATATCAATAAGGGGGCACTTTTTTTTGTTTGTGGTCTTTAACAACAATATCTGGGCGGTTGGCTTTGATTGTTCTGTCAGTGTGTATTGTGTAGTCTCATAGAATTGTAACAGGTCCTATCTCCGTAACCGGATCTGGGTGGTGTTCATATCATTCATTATTATTATTATTATTATTATTATTATTATTATTATTATTATTATTTCTTCACTTTAGTGTAATCCCTTACACGAGATGTTGTCGTAATAATTTCATTCTGTATAAATTACATAGTAAATTTTCTTAGTAAAGTCATTCTGTTTGCACAAATTGTGATGTAAAGTGCTACTTAACATAAACGGTGTTTATAGCTTCTTTACATTGATAAGACACTCCTAAGCCGATGAGCAGTTCCCCTCAGAGTACTTTATAAAAATCTCTTGAAACAGGGGCTAACAGGTATCTCGCTATTTTATTCTGTACCTTTTTTTTTTACTGCACCCAGAATTCTATTATAAATATTACAGTTCTGATGTGTTACATTTTTTTCCAGTTTCCATTTCAAGATCCTTATATTTATTACATTTTTTTCTATATTCTTTAAAGGATAGATGTTTATCTGATTACATAGTTCCCAAACATTATATACTGCTTAACCCTATCAGGCCGATGATTTTATTCCTGTCACGATTGAACAGCCAGACAACTAAATAGTCACCGGACAATCGTCTCAACATGATGCTTTTGCTTAGTCTACGTCATTTTTAATATGTCTGTTTGCTGAAGAGGCTTTATAAATGTCGGCGTCTCTACTTTCAGTCCAGCACTCTTTAAACGTTAAAGTTTACTGCCTATGTATATCTACAAGGTACATATTGGCCCTATAAGGGGATTTTTTTGTGCCCAGACATTTAAATTTCCTTTCCGGTCTCAGAGACTTAGAGTCAGAAATGGCTTCATAACATTTTCCACTGAGCATTTTTGTGAAAAAATAAATAAATAAAAAAGATCGTATACATTTTACATCGATAAAGCTCTTCGCAAAATGTGAGTTGTACTTGTGAGTACAATTGTTTGTATTTCTTTATTAGTAGTCTTATTAATATTATTATTAATATTTCGTTCTTTCTTATATGCACTATAATTGTCTATTGCTATCCCTTTGGATTTTGATTCTAATTGACCGGTTTTTAAAAGACACCCACGTGTGCCTACTTTTATTATAGACACGATCTTTGCCTTCATATTACACGCATTTCTCAACTCCCCGAAAAATATGTCCTGGTATTTTTCCAATTTCACTCTTTGACATTCACTCTGTGATCCACTAACAAAACCAATTCTGCAATCTGGAATGTCCTTTATATCCAACTATAAACTCCAGGTTGTCTTGCTTGAATGTCATAGTCAATCAGAATCTTTAAGGCCAATGGTATTTCTTTCTGGTGTAATGGGTAGCAAGCTTGTTTCTCTAGAGCAGTTACGATTGAGTAGTGAGTTTAATCTTTACTGAGTGCCCCTTACTTTCGGGCTTGGAAAATCACTACGCTGATCCTTTTGCTCATTTTCCTAACTGTTGCTATTTTGTAACGTTTCGGGGGTATCTTGCTCTTGCTCTGGCCATTGATTACGTGGTTTAAAATCTCATATCTTTCTTTCTAAAATCTCATATGAGAGGAAGGCCTCGAAACGGTGCACATTCTCTCCTGATGACCCCAGTTTAAAATTCGAGAGGAACACATCAAATTCAGTGAAGTCATATGCCGTAGTGAAGCTCGGTGGAAGTGTCATTGGCATGAGGAGCATTACACATTCAGCTCGCTTCAGGTAAGTTTCAATTACTTTCCAGTAATTTCCTTCTTCTCTTTCCCCGCAGAAACAGCATGCATTTTGAGAGTAGGGATTGTGTCAATATATGGCTTATTTATTTATTTTGCAATGATGATTGATTTGGTTTATCTCTTCTCAGGTATCCTCTGCGTAACCATCTTTTCAGGTATCCTCTGCGTAACCATCTCCATTAAGAGAGAAATTTATTTCCCCAGTTTCTTTCCTACTTTTCCTTCTTACTCCTCTGCCATTGTTTTTGTTTGTTTCGAGAATTTTTTATAAAAGTTTAAACTGGAGCACATTTTTCCAGTCACTCTGTGGCTGTTTAGACACAGCCGTTAATTCTGCCGAGTCTCCTGCTGCCTCCTTGCCTTTTCATATATATCCGTTTGTTGCTATAATCAAATAATGAGTAGGATTTTTACTGCTAATAATTACATGTCTTTAATCTTTGCATTTTTGTTTTGATATGATTTTATCAATGTTGCCTTCGTTCTTTGTTTTAATGTCAAAATATTAATATCGTCATTCAGTTAGGCATTATTATTACTATTATTATTATTATTATTATTATTATTACTATTATTACTATTATTATTATTATTATTATTAGAACTGGATGTGCCGGTATGTGCCGGATATTGGCGCAGAAAGTGAAATAGAGAAACCAAGTTCAAATTCTAAGCTAGCCAGTTGCATCCATTTTTACACTAATGCACTTGGGAAAAGCATAAATTCATCTCTTTTTGTCCCCAGTTTTGGGTTAAATAGCAGGTTATAATGGACCTTGTAGCCTCTGGTGTCAACCAGTCTAAGAGAAGGAAAACTCTATATTCCAAAGTATGAAGAAGACCTAGGAGTGTATTTCTGTTCCCAGGTAAATAAGAAAAGTAATCTGTAGAGAGGCATGATCGCCTACATCCTGAAGAGATTCAAAAATATTAGAAAATTTCGTCAATTCCAACTTTTGTCCCTATCACCATCATTATAAATGGTGTTGCCAAGTTTGTTCAATTTTATAATCTTTTAAAATATTTCGAAATTTGAAATGGAGACTTACTCTGCTCTCTTTCTGCTTATGTGCCATGTCCTTTAAGGACGTAGGCGATCATGGCTCTCCACCTCCCTCTATCTCTTGCAACTCTCAACAAATTCCTACCCTCAGCTCCCCCCCCCCCGACCACGTTCTATCATCGACTTGCTCAAGTCCGCCAGGTATATCACGCATTGTTTTCCCTTGTCTCTCTTTCCCTCTATTCGACCCGTGAATATCAGATTCTCCAGGCCCTTCCTGATATTAAGTATAAGCCTCCTCCTTGTTTGCAACCTCTCCAAACTCTCATCGTTGCTCACACGCTCGGCCCATGATATCCTTAGCATCCTGCTGTAGAACCAGATCTCTGTCGCCTCGAGTCTCTTTGTCATCTTTGAGGAAATCGTCCAACATTCGCTGCTGTAAAGAAGAATAAATGTCATGTAACAGCTCAGATGCCTGAAAATGTTTATTTTCTCATCGGTGTTTGTAGTAAGGAAGGATAATAACAAAGGTTGGTTAAAATTGAACAGAGACTGAATGATGAAGGGTGTTGAGCCAATGATTAAAGTTAAAATATTAATTTTTTCTTATTTTTGTTTTTTCTTTCATATTTTTTCTTTCTTTTTTTTACCTCAATCGGAACATTGACCGCTAGTGTGAGTGATGAATATACACAAATCTCATCTACAAGGCCGACATAAATAAATCTAATAAGCTTTGCATAATCTGACACAACATTATAGCACTTGATCACTCAATGAAGAATGTACTCAACAGAGGACAGAATTGTTCCAGGAAACATCTCGTACTATGGTTGGTGTCTAAATTCATATTAACTGCGCTTCTTTCATGGGGAAATCAAACCGCTGGCTGATATGGATTAATACTAATCCACACCCTAGCCTGGATTCTGTAGGAAATCTGAAATAGGTTTCCAGATTCAAACCAAACTGTGAATTATACATCGCTCTATTCAATGTTACTTATCTTTAAATCTTCATAAAATAATTCATCATAATTGATTCCGTAAATAAATATGATGAATCATTAAAATCATTATGTTTGTCAATATAATGAATCCTTAAAATCGTTGTTTGTCAATATAATGAATCATTAAAATAATCATGTTTGTCAATATAATGAATCCTTAAAACATTATGTTTGTCAATATAATGAATCCTTAAAATCATTATGTTTGTCAATATAATGAATCATTAAAATAATCATGTTTGTCAATATAATGAATCCTTAAAACATTATGTTTGTCAATATAATGAATCCTTAAAATCATTATGTTTGTCAATATAATGAATCATTAAAATGATCATGTTTGTCAATATAATGAACCCTTAAAATCATTATGTTTGTTAATATAATGAATCATTAAAATCATTATGTTTGTCAATATAATGTACCATTGCTTTTCAATATAATATTATGAGAGGAGTATCAGGAATTAATTTACATTCAGTAATCTCAAAATCGAAATATAATCCAAGAACTCCTCTGATCTGCAAAGGGAGATTTTTGTCGAATGTAAATAAATTGATATAAAAACGAGCAAATGTTACTATTGTAAAGTTTTCTGACGTTATTTTTGTTTTAAATTTACTATGTATTCATTAGATGAGAATAGAAAAATACGATGTCTTTTCGGGAAGGAAGATTGTCAAGCGCCATTTTGGAAAGTAGGAGACCCTTAAGAAATATGAGTCAAAATCTGAAATATTACAGATGTTTAAACGGCAAAAAGAAAAATGACAAGGATAACACCTACCTCAAGCACGGTGAACATCTTGGTAGATAGATAGATAGATAGATAGATAGATAGATAGATAGATATGAATAGACTGAGATAGATAGATAGATAGATAGATAGATAGATAGATAGATAGATAGATAGATAGATAGATAGATAAAAAAAGGAAATAAGAAGGGCATACAGTGAACACACATAAATACATCTGAATACAAACGCTACGGCGCTTTCATTAGGCGAAACAAAACGTCCAATCCACTTAGGATTGATTCAACTTTAGATTAAAATTGGATAAACATTTAAATTTAAATACTCGTGTCGCTACACGTCATATATGCACGTACACGCAAAAATATGCTTGTAACATATATATATATATATATATATATATATATATATATATATATATATATATATATATATATATCCAGCTCACTTTTTATGTATTGCTATGCATATTTGCGTGCATGCCCACTGACACATACATACAGATGAAAACGTTTTCGTACACAAGTTCTCAAATTAAATTACATTCATATATATATATATATATATATATATATATATATATATATATATATGTTACATACATATATATATATATATTATGTGTGTTTAGACATATAAATGTGAAATGTCGTCTTTACGATCAACATTATGCGAATTTTCTCTAAAACAAAACGAAATATGACAACTTGAAAAAAAAGAACAGAATTATTTTAAACTTAATTTTTTCAACGTTTCTACTTTATTTTTCAAACATATAATTATTTTTGTCTGCTGGGAGACTTTCTTCAAAATTCCCATCATTTTCTTCTTTTACCTTTCTTTTTTTTTTTTTTTTCTTTGAAATTTGTTTTTTGGTTTGTTTGTGTTTTTTGTTTTGTTTTTTTTTTCTCACATCTTTTATTCCAGACTTCCACTTTTCTTTCTCTTCCTCCGTTTTGTTTTCCTTCAATATTTTTTTTTAGATTTTTCTTCTTTTGCATTTTAATTGTAACTTCTTCTTTGAATCTAAATTTGCATACGTTTGTATAAAACTTTGCATCACAATTGGTCTTAACGAATTCGATTGTTGCTAGCTCACCGGATAGGCAATGATTATTGTGATTTTATTCAACTCGCTATCCCTTTTGCGGCTTCGGGCTGTGGAATATTCATTGAAGAAATTTAAAGCGATATTTCTGTTGGGGATAGGCTTGGTGTAAAGGTTTGAATAACGTGAATTGCAGATCTCCACTGACTGACTGGCCAGATACACTGTGAGGCGTTTGTATGGGTGGCGGAACGGACATAACGGACTGTAAAGCTGTCGGCTTATCCCTGGAGAGGGATTTCGTACAGGAGAGAAAGTGAGTTTGCAAAAAGAAGGAGAAGCTTGGAAATGAGGCAAAAACAGAAGTAGAAGGATTAATAGAAATTGGAAAAGCAGAGTGATGAAAAGATATAAAAAGGAGGGGGAAGAGAAAAAAAGGAAAAATGATGCAATAAAACCACAACAAGAAAAAGAAGAGAATGAAAGTTATGATGATTGAAATGTAGAAAGTAGAGAGAAAAAATGGCGGAAAAGAAGCAGAATAAAATTGTTGTAAGGAAAAGGAAAAAAGAAAAATGTAGATTAGAAGGAAATGAAATATGGAATGAAGGAATAGGAAATAATTTGGATAAGAATGAAAAAGAAGAAGAAGAAGATGAAGAAGAAGAAGAAGAAGAAGAAATAGGAGAAGAAGAAATGGAGAGAACAATTGGTATAAAAAGACAGTAGAAGAAAATAGAGAGTGAAAGATGAAACAGAAAGAAAATAGAATGATTATAAAATGAAGGACATGAGAATCATGAAAAAAAGGAATGATCTGATAAAGAAAAACGAAAAATATACTGAAGAACAAAGAAGAAAATTAAAAACGAAAAAAATAAGAGAATAGAAAGAATAAAAAAGAGAATGGAAGAAAATATATTTAACAAGAGATAATGTTGACAAAGAAAGAAAGAAGAAAGATGATAGCAAAAAATATAGAAAAGATAGTATTTTTAAAGAAGGAAAGAATGAAGGAAAAATATTTATGTAAAGAACAACTGAATTAAATTTATGTTAAAACTTTTTAAAAAAGTATCGAGATCAAAAATAGCGAAAGTTAGGAGAAAAAAAATGAAAGATAAAAGTTTTAGAATAGTTATAAAATTATCTGAGTTGAAATAATTCCCGCTAACAACAGTTATGGCGGGAACCACGGTGATGTCGGGAAAGAAGATGATATCAGCCATTACGACATTAGAACCATCAGAAAAATAACTCACGTTCACATACCAAAGTAAAAAAAAAAAAAAAGCAAGACAAACGTAAAGACAAAAGAAGGAAAGAAAGAATGAAAAATGCTAAGAAAAAGAAAATAAAAATAAAACTCCTGCAATAAACGACGAATAATTCGCATTATTTTTAAGTAAAAATTATGAAAGAAAAATATAAAAATTTAATAATTTCTATTTTTATAATTTACCGCGCTCTCGAAAAGTTTCTGTTTTTATTCATTGTTTTTAATTTTAATTTTATTTTAAAAGAAACCTTATTTGCGTATGTGCGCATGCGTTAGTGTGTTCCAACGCATGCGTCTTAGAAACGACTCTCTGCGGGTATATGTGTATAAATAGATGTGTCCGTTTGTGTACTTTTATATGTATATATGTGTAGACGAAAGTTTATCAGTATTTTAAAAAACAAGCTTGATAATAAGTTTATCCAATGTCTTCTTTTTCAACATTTTTTTTCTCATTCTTTTTAATTTTTCTTCGAATTGGGAATTATGAGAATGTCTCTGTTGTATGGCTTTTCTATTCAGTTAAGAATTGTAAAAAGAGTTACGAAAGTTTATGTTCGGTCCTTTTCGTCGAATTCCCTCGTTTGCTCGTTGCTATGTCGGCCATGTTTGGTGTTCTAGAAAGAGAATGAAATGCCACTGGCACTGAGGACTGCGTTCTAAAAGAAGATAGAAAAATATAAATCGTTTGCAAACTTGGCCTTCAAAGGAGGTAAAACGACGGGTTATCCTTTTCATTCTTTCTCTCAAATACTTTCATTATGTCTCCCCCCCACTTTTTTTTCTCCAATAACTAACTTTATTTCCATCTCTCTTTCATGTGATTCATATTACTTTCTCTCTTTTATTTATATATTGTTAGACATATCGGGGAAGTAAAAGAAATGGATATGGAGAAAGAGAGAGAAAATTATTTGAGAGAAAAGAAGATACACAGTGATAATCAAGAGATAGATAGATAGATATGAACAGAAAGAGATAGATAGATAGATAGATAGATATGAACAGAAAGAGATAGATAGATATGAACAGAAAGAGATAGATAGATAGATAGATAGATAGATAGATAGATAGATATGAACAGAAAGAGATAGATAGATAGATAGATAGATATGAACAGAAAGGGAACAGATAGCGATGAACAGAAAGCGAATAGATAGATAGATAGATAGATAGATAGATAGATAGATAGATATGAACAGAAAGAGATAGATAGATAGATAGATAGATAGATAGATAGATAGATAGATACTGCTTTTAAACTGGTTTGATTAACTGTGATCTACGATGACCTATCAATGAAACATATTATTTTCTAGCATTGTTCGCAGGAGATAGATAGATAGATAGATAGATAGATAGATAGATAGATAGATAGATATGAACAGAAAGAGATAGATAGATATGAACAGAAAGAGATAGATAGATAGATAGATAGATAGATAGATAGATAGATAGATATGATCAGAAAGAGATAGATAGATAGATAGATAGATAGATAGATAGATAGGTACGAACAGAAAGAGATAGATAGATAGATAGATAGATAGATAGATAGATAGATAGATAGATAGATACTGCTTTTAAACTGGTTTGATTAACTGTGATCTACGATGACCTATCAATGAAACATATTATTTTCTAGCATTGTTCGCAGGAGATAGATAGATAGATAGATAGATAGATAGATAGATAGATAGATAGATAGATAGATAGATATTGCTTTTAAAATGTGATCTACGAGGACCTATCAATGAAACTTTTTATTTTCTAACATTGTTCGCAGGATCATCCTGCAAATAATATATTATTTCCTTAGTTAAAAATTTGGAAGGCCATTTTCAAAACACCACACCATTTTCTTTCAATGTTAATCGGCTGCCATGAAATCCACTACTCTCTGGGACTTATTGCTACATTTACCAAATGAAATCAGTATTTACAATTGCCATTCTTATTGAATTACGACATGAAGGATCTTGCTGGGAATTAGGAAGACTCTGACATTATGAAACAGTCCTAGTGCGTCATATTTGTTTCTGTTGTCGTAAGGAATGGATTCAAAGAACGACATATGATAATTCTACTTAAAGAACGAAATATGACAATTCTGTTTAAAGAAATGGAGTTGAACACATATAAAAATCCTATTTGTAGATAGACATATGACAATTTTATTTAAAGAAATGCATAAGACAGTTCTCTTTAGAAAAGAGATATGACAATTCTATCTACAGAAATAGATATGAAAGAAGAAAAAATCAAAAAGAAAAGGGAAAAGAAAAAAGAACATCGATTAGCGTGAGACTGGAAAAGAGTGAAGAGAAAAGAGAATAGGTATGTTAATTTATTCACTTATTTTTTCTGGCACAGGGTCACAATAAGTAAGCGCTCAAGAGAAACCAAATACAATCAATGTAGCAATAATCCATGAAATTAATTTATTGCCCATAGTTCTACAATATGCAGAATCAAAATGTGGGAATATAAATGGAGGCATAACGTCGCCATCACTAGTGACTTTTCCAAACAACTTTGTAATCGCCATTAAACTCATCCAATTCTTTCCGAATCCTCTGCATTGTCCTCAAATTTACGCCCAAACACTCTGAAATGTTCGTATTTGTGGTTCCGGATAGAATACCAAGTGCAGCATGCTTTTTCCCACTTTCTGGTGGGGTAAATTGCGTCAGGGTACTCGTTTTCTCAAAGACGGTGACCAACTGACCCTTCTATATTGTGCAGTGGACAAAATAAAAAAAAACAAAGCGCATGCGCGAAATTAAAATATATGGCGTCAATTTACCCAACGCACCCTGAAGCATATATATATATATATATATATATATATATATATATATATATATATATATATATATGTATGTGTGTGTGTGTGTAAAACATATAAATATATATATATATAAAAAAATATATATATATATATGTGTGTGTGTGTGTGTGTGTGTCTCCGTTTTTTATTTACACATATTTCAAAATGTATTCTTGTTTTTTTTTTTTTTTTGGGGGGGTGTTAATGATCCTTAGATCGATTTTTTTTCTTTCCATAGATTACATAGACTGAAAGAATTTAAAGAAACATATGCAAAGTGTTTACTACAATTCAATGTTATTAAAATCTATATAGGCATGAAAACCTAAAATTGAAAACACCACTAGCCGAAAGATATATTAATAAAATAAACAGAATTATAGACAGAAATGGCAAAATCTTTGTATGGAGGGATAAATGCTAATTACAGAAATTAAGAACATGAATTGCTGTCATTTATGGCCTGGTGCGCCCGCTGTACGTCTCGTGGTCCTCGGCCAGAGACGAATATGCAAGATGATAGGTCATGATCTGTCATCTAGTCTACAATCGCAATTACACAGACATACTGTGGCCTCCCTCTGTCTCTTCTACAAATATTTTCACGGCAACTGTTCTGACGATCTACTTTCGCTGGTACCCGGACTACACGAATGTAAACGTGCTACCAGGTTGGCCCACACTTACCACTGTCAAAACGGTTAAATATGACCGTCTATTCTTCTCAAAGAACTTATTTTCCAGCACTTGCCACCTGTAGAACTCCCTTCCCCTTACTTGCTTCTTCGATGAATATAATCTTCAAATATTCAAGTGTAATGTCAATCGACATCTGACACCCTGAGATTGTTCCCCATCCTTCTGTATATCCTTTCCTCAAACACGCCTCTTTACACTTCCTCTCAATCCTGGGTAACGCCTTGCGGGCTAGTGGCACTGCCGCCTTGCTTCTTGGGGTGAATTGACTTAAAAAAAAAAAAAAAGGTGGGGGTGTGACACGATAAATATGGACTCAATCACAAAAGACTCCGCCCAAGCCAGTCTCCATAGTTTGTATATGTTGCCACGTGTCCATCAACACAGAGCATTTCAAGAGATACCAACACAAAAAGATTGCATCTTCATGTACTTGAGATGCAAACATACCACCATGAATTATCGACAACCAGAATCCAATGATAATCAGATGCAAGATGATTTGTCGATTGAGGTATCAACTGAAGATTATTCAGTGTGATTTTCCCAATAAAAGCTGCTAGATGGTCGTTGACACTGTATAAGTGTTCATACGCTTCTTTGATAGCTTTTATTTTGAATCCCACAGCAACCTTCTTCATCGAATAGATATGATGACAGGACCGGTTTAGTCAACGATCATCCAGCCATGCAACAGGTAGTAAGAGATTACATTAATTCCAAGTAGCATTCAAAGAATGACCTATTGATAATAATGAAACGATGTGATAACACCGTTCGCTCTTCTCACATATATGCCCAGTATCTGTGACATAAAGACAGAAATCCCAGAATGAGATCTTTCAATACGGGATGGGACATTTCATCACCGCCGACTCAACACCAGCCAAATCAATTCCAGAACAACTGACCATCAACCTACTCAGTGCGTGATCAACTCAACGCTGGCATCAAATTCATATTTTCAGACCGGTGTTGGGTGTTATAGTGTGCACATATCTTAGATCGGTTTTGAGTAATAGAGATTTTGAAAATTTGGCTGTTTGTATTACTGACTTATTAGTTACATTTTATATATATATATATATATATATATATATATATATATATATATATTGTCATCTACAGACAGGCTCTTTCGCTGTATCGCATCTCTTCAGTGTGGCTTTGGTATCAGTCAGAGATTCTACTCCTAGGCTATTGTCACACAGTAGAAATGAAGGGAAATTTGAACGTTTTCTATGCGAAATATGTCAGTGGCCCGAAGAGCTCAATTCAATTCGGTTGAAGAGAAATACGCTAAAAGCGGTATGAGCCAGTATTTTTAAAATTACCCTTTTCTCAAGAGAGCTCAACCAGAGCATATATATTGTCATCCACAGTCAGACTGCTTCACTCTATCGCAGCTCATCAGTGTATATATA